TCAGCTCGGGCTGACTCGAACCGCTGTTGCTCAGAGCTCAAACTCTTGAGCGAGCTCTTAACCAACTGAGCCACTCAGCCGGCCCTCTCTTTCATATTTTTGTAGGGCAGATGAAGAGGACGAAATGTGCTGAAATTGATGTTGAGACACCAGACTCCATCCTGGTGAATACAAATCTTCGAGCTCTGATCAACAAACACACCTTTTCAGTCCTTCCTGGAGATTGCCAACAGCGACTGCTTTTACTACTTCCAGAGGTGGATCGACAGGTACGTGAGTTCAAGCACAAGCATTTTTATAAACCTTCTGAAACTGCCTTCACTCAACTCCTTAAGACTTTTTAGATAGCTTTTTATGTGTACCTGTAAAGAAGAGTATCAAAGGTACTAAACAAGAAATAAGAATATTTTTATGTAAGTGTTCCTGATAGGTTAGCCCTGTAAGGCTTGTAAAGGAAAAAAACTCTTGTCAGAATGTCAAGATTATAGAATAAAATTGTCTAGCTATCATATTAGATGTAGGCATCCATAGAATATAATTAGGAGGAAGAGTTGTTTTAGACATTAAAGGGTTTTTGAATGGATTTTTTAAAGTGATTTAGAATGTTATTTTCATGCTTTTGTTAAACAAATATTGATTTTATAATAAAGAACTTAAAAAATTCAATGTACGTTATACTCTTAAAAAAAAAAAAAGTAGCCAGAAGAAATACGAAAGGTTTGGGAAGAGTCTAGGCAGGGGCCAGAGCGAGTTAGCTTGTTCAGGAATAAGGTAAAGTTATGAGACTTTGGCTTTCATCAAGGAAAGAGTGGCTAGCCAGTATTCCCCCTTCTGGTTTTCTGTTTCCTCCTGTGCAAGAGGCAGACAGGACCATATGATTTTCTAAGGTTTATTCAATTGTGAGATTTAAAAAAATTCATTATTATTTCCAAAGATTATGTTCTAAGTAATCTGATAGCCCCCCCTCCTTCTCATCATAAAAACTACATTAGAGAGAGGTTGTTTTCGTAGTTTACAGTAAGAGTGCTAAATATATTCCCCAGTGTATAGTAAGAGATTAATGGAGAGTAGTAAGTAAGCTACACAAGTCATTATAGCTAATTGACAATAAAGTCAAAACCAAATCTTTCTCATTCTGAAAATCATCTTGATACTACACTATATTGCTGTCAGTTTCATAGCGCTGTGAATCAGCACCTGTGGAAGCCCGTCAGATTCCATTTCCAGGGAGTCCAAATAAGTAGATACACCATAAACCATGTGGACAAAGAAGTAAAACTGACCCTTTCCAGCTACTGCTTTCCCACCTTGTTTATCACTTCTTGGAGAAATTAGTTTTCAGAGGCCCAGTTCTTGTATGGAACAAGTTAAGAGACTGTTTTGGCAGTTTTTAGAGAACTTCTTTGTTAGGGATTGCTCTCATCTCTTTTAAAGACTCAGGTTATTAGGTTGGGAATAATGATACAGGACCTAACTGAGGGCCTGTGTGTAGACCTGTAGAGCAGGTTCCTCAGAACTGTGTTGACTAATGGCCTTCATCTCTCAGGAGGGATCGCCACATACACACATTTTAGAATTAAAAGGGACTTTAGAAGTTATCCTCTCAACTTCTCATAGAGTGCAGTTCTGTGGGATATTCTTAATAGGAGGCTACTTGACCTGTCTTTCCCAGTTGTTATAGAGCGAGCCCATAGTCATCTGAGAAATACTGTCCTTCTGTATAGAGAGTATGGAGTTCCAATGAAATGAAATACAACTTCATTGTCAGATGAAATTTGGAGTGTTTATAAAGATTTCTGGTTATTACTAGGATGAAACATTGGAAAGCATATTGAAGTGTCTGGAGTGCCTAGCAATAAACAGTAGAAACACATTATTTAGACCAGAGAAAAGAATAAGGGAGGGGAGTGGATTAAAATACCTTTCTTCAGATCTATTTGAAGGTCTATAGTATGGAAGAGGGTAACTTCTTTAGAAAGCAGATATGAGGTTAAAATAACTTTTTTTTAAACAATTGGATCTGTTAAACTGTGGAAAGGAGTGACTTGTGAATCACTGGAGTATTCAAGCAAAGATTGGATGACCTGTTCTCATTGGGAAACCTGTTACTACCCCTCTGTTATTTCTCTAGAGTTAGACAAAATATAAGCCCTCAGGCTAATTTCAGCCACGTGCCTAATTTTTGTAAATAAAGTTTTATTGGCACACAGCACTCCCATTAGCTTACATATTGTCTATAGCTTCTTTTGTGCTATAGTGGCCAAGTTAAATACTTGGCTACAGAGGCCATATGGCCTGTAAAACCTAATACCCTGCACTGTACACCTGAAGCTGATGTCAGCTATAATTGAATATATATATATAGTCACGGGATGTGGAGTATAGTGTGGGAGTGGAGTCAGTGGAATTGTAATAGATATGTATGATACGGGGGGGAGTGGGACGGCGGATTGGGGGAGGGAGGCTGTCACTTTGAGGGGTAAAAAGTATAACTATTGCACTGTGTGTATAGCTGAAACTAATTTTTAAAAATGTTCATTTCACAATAAAAATAAATTACTGGAAAAGAAACCACCTAATACAGTAATACCTTGGTTTGCAAGTATAATTCGTTCTGGAAACAAACTACTCGTATTGCAAGACATTGTTCGTTTACCACGTTAAAATGTACTTGGTTTGTGAGCATAATTCGTTCTGGAAACAAACTACTCATATTGTAAGACATCACCCGTTTACTAAATTAAAATGTATTAGAAATGTTTGCTCATCTTATGGAACATTTGCAAACCAAGTTACTCGCAATACAAGGTGTTTTACTGTATATTTGCAGTCTATCTCTTAACAAAAAACGTTTACCAATTTCCCCTCTAGAGCCAGGGGAAAATAATGTTGGCCCAGATAGATTTAGAAAGTCAAGTGGGTTGAGAAGAGTTTCTCAATCCCCAGGATGTCCAAGTAGTTACCTAAGTTTTCTATAAAATACTGTTTTGGACTTAAAACTTACATTTAGATTTTTAATCCATATAGCATTTATTGAATTGCCCTGAAATTGGGATTCAATTTTCTTTTCTTTTTCTTTTTCTCTTTTTAAAGATTTTTACTGGGGAATTGGGGGAAGGGGAACAGACAAGTTGCTATCCTTTTGTTCTTCAGTCTAGTTGTGGAGGACATTGCTTCACTGGCCCAAGTTGGCACNACTTCTGCAATTACAAGAGGTGCTCAGAGTGGTTACCGTCAGGGTCCAGACACTTCTGATTATGGTGAACTATTGCTTGAGCAACTCCTTGACCAAACTGTCCACTTGTATACTTTTTTTTGGCACCCCGGTATAATTTACTTGTAACATTGTATTAGTTTTAAGTATATACATGATAATTTTATATATGTACATATTACGAAATGATCACCACAATAAGTTAACATTCATTACCTCACATAGTTAAACAAACTTTTTTCCTTATGATGAGAACTTTTAAAACCACTCTCTTAGCAAAAAAATAACCATCTTGATTTTTCTCCAAAACAATAGGAGTACTTTATAACAATCTAGCACAGATCTTTTCTGGACTTAAATAATATTGTGTGACATTTTTGTTCTTTGTTTTTAATCTCACAAATCAGACACTAGAACACTATTGTTTTATACAACAATATTGATGTAGATTTATCTACCTTTCTACATTATATTCCAGCCCATCTTTCTGTAATGACTTTTTTCCTTCATTACAGTTTAAGAACTTTATTTAGAGCAGTTCTCTTAGTAGTAAATCCTCTCAGCTTTTGCTTATCTCTATAAATGTCTTTGTTTCATGTTCATTCATTCTTGAAGGAGAATTTGGTATACATACCATTAGAGGTTGATGGTTATTTTCTCTCAACATTTTATAATTATTAAACACTTTGTTCTGGATTTCTTTGTTGTTAAGAAGATTGCTGTTGTTTTGTGTTCCTTTTAATGAAATCTTTCCCTTGTGGATGCTTTCAAGCTATTATCTTGGTTTTTCATGAGCAGTTTTACTAAACTAGGTCTGAGCATGGGTTTCTTTTTTTTTCTTTTTAAATTAAAGTTTATTGGGGTGACAGTTGTTAATAAAGTCGCATAGGTTTCAGGTGTGTATTCTGTAATACATCATCTATATATTACATTGTGTGTTCACCACCTAGAGTCGCTTCTCTTTTTATCACCATATATTTTATCCCTTTTACCCTCATCTACCATCCCTCTCCCCCCAGCATAGGTTTTTTTTTATGTTGCTTTGAATATGTTATGCTTGTACATCTTTAGGTTTTTAGTTTTCATCAGTTCTGGTAAACGTACTATTGTCAAGTCCTTAAATATTACCCTTTTTTCATCTTTTTTTCTCCTTCTGGGTCTTCAATCAAGCATATATTAGACCTTCTCATTGTATCATTCATGTTGCTGCTTTTGATCTCAAAATAGTTAATCTTATCTGTCTCTCCTGTATTCTGGGTAAATTGTTTGGCCATTCTAGGTTAAAATTCCCTCTTTAACAGTGTCTGAACTGCTCTTTAATTCATTCATAGTATCTGATTTCAACAATTTTTATTCTACATTTGTAGAAGTCTCATTTTTTAAAAGTCTTTGTGTTTATTCCTAATTTTCCTCATCTTTATAATTATACTTTCTTTCTTTAATCATTTTATACATAGCTATTCTGTATTCTATATTCTATATGTATATCAGTTTCAGTGATAACAGGTCTAGTTCTAGGTCTTAATCTTTTCTTTCTGTTTTCTGTTGACTCTCTCATGGTGGCATGCCTTTGGTTTGTCGGTAATCTTTGTGAGGTAGTGCTGGATTTTCATTTGTAGGCATTCTGTGGGTTTAAGGAAAATTCTTTCCTCTTAAGAGACATTACTTCTGTTTGTACTTAGGCCAGAAGCCAGAGGTTATCCACATCCAGGATTGTGTAACTTTGTGCAAATATTTACAAATGTAGAATTTCTGTGTCCTAGATTCCTGTGCACATTAAAATTTTGCTGTATATTGTTCAATTTTCTAATAATAAGATTATATTAATTTAAGCTCCATCAACGGTATTTGAAAGTGGTTTTTGCTTTTTCCCTGCATAGTCCCATCACTATATTGCAATATTTGCCATTTTGATAGACAAAAAAAAGTTCATTGGTTTAACTGGTATTTATTTAAATATTAACATGTTAGCATCTGTTCATGGTTAGTCAACTATGAATTGCCTATTAATTCCCTTTGCTCCTTTTTCTGTTGGTGATAATTGTCTTTTTCATA